TATTGATTTCTAAGATTCCCCTCGAAGTCGGCATAGCCTGCTATCTCTTCCAGTGTAGGAGTTAACTCGAAATCAGCAAAGTGGAATACATTATGTGCTGGGTCCCAAAATGGTATCAAGGCCTCAATCACATCTTTTCTTGGCTTAACCTTCAAGAGCCCGATAAGACCGCCCAACGCTTTTGTCATAACATTCCTGCTGTCGTCCCCCAAATCATGCCACCACATATGTAACTCCAAAGGGATCTCTTCACGGACCGAGAAAGGTTCATTTTGAATTGTGCTTATCCTGAACATTTATTAAGGTGATTTTAATTAAAAGAAAACTATGTCTCATCTTGACTCAAGAAAAATGAACATTTTTTTTTCAAAACTTTCACAAAAATATCCGGCCTTGCCAATACGGCCTTTCATCATTTCAAAAATGAAGATTTTAAGGCTATGTCGGCTAACCAGCCAAAACCTTTAAAAGTGACTAAAAGTGATTGTTCTTGCAAAAACAGCCTTCCGGTGCCCTTTTGAGGGATATTCGGCTATTTTGAGAAGAATGACATCATCTTACTTTATTTGCAATGAAAATAACATTTTTATTCTTTTGGGCTGCTTTTACAAAAGAGAAGTTGGACCCGATGGGGGTTTCCTACGTATCTCACACCCTGTGAGAATCAAACTTGCGTAGTTCGGGCGAATAAAACAAATTATTTTTGAAAACAAAACTCTTTTTTTTTCATTTTTCACTTCGTTCTTTCTCAAAAATTCGGCAGAGTTTCAGCGCTATTTGGACATTGGTTTTTCTCAAACATATGATTAACTCTTTTAACCCTCTACACTGCTATTTCTCTTTTCTCGACTTTTCCCAATATTCATAAGCCGGTCAGCATGCAAGTTCGGAGCAAATAAATACACAAGTAGCAAGTAAGATGCATGGGGATGGTCTTTTTTCATTTTTGGTATACCTGTTCTAGACAGACTCAACCCCTGTGTTGAGTCTCCAAAGTTAGATGCACATGATGCAAGCAAACGTTCCTACTAGGGATCCGGCATGAGGTCTTGTTGTACTAGGTTNAATAAAAGCAATCAATCAGCACATTAGGCCCAAATCATGTAACAAAATCAGATAATGGATAAATCCAACTATAACAATTATTCTAAGCTCAAATTCTTGAACCCTAAACAAGATATTCTGGGTTCGATCCCCAGCAGAGTCGCCAGAGCTGTCACACCTCCTTTTTACCTACACCCCCCTAAAGGGATGTATAAGGGAGTTTTTCCAATTAAAGGACAATCGAAACGGGATTTATTTATTAAAAGATTCAAAGTCGCCACTTGGGAAATTTATGGCATCCCAAGTCACCGATTCAAATCCTGAATCGAGGAAAAGATTGACTCTGTGTTACATTCCGCGAACCAAAAATTCAGGTAAGGAATTCTGTTAACACGGGAGAAGGTGTTAGGCATTCCCGAGTTCCATGGTTCTTGCGCGGTCGCTCAACTGTTATATTCAACTTAATTATCTAATTTTAAAAAATTATGAACCTATGTGCAAATTTTAATTTTTAACCGCTTTTATTCAATTTTAAAAAAGATTAAACGTTGTTTAAAACACGTCTTTGGATCGCGCCACATGAAATGCACCCGCAATCCTAAACATATTTTATTCAACGTTTTAAGATTTGATTTGGGTCACATGAAATGAACACTCAAGTTTAGGAAGGTAATATTATTAAAATATGCGCTTAAAGCAATTAACGCATTTGCAGCTTTGCGAGGGCCATGGAAAATTCGCTAAATGGCACGCCTCGATTTCTAAGGATAAAAACATTTATTAAGTGAAGGCCATAACCTATTTATGTTATATAATAAGGCTCGCCTCAATTATTAAAGGTCTTGGCTAATTGACTGAAAGGCGGAGGAAATTATCGAATCAAGTTCACGAAACCAGATTAATCTAATCCGTGACGATGAGGAATTGGGCTAGTTATTGGAACGAGTTGGCCCAACAACAACCATTAGCGAGAAAGTATTCATGTGGCAAGACCTGCCACTTCTATTTTTCATAATGCTTTTAAGTCTTTTGGGCCCAAATCGAACCCAAATTAACAAAAGGGATGGACACCCGCATGTATTGTCCAGAGATCGAATCTCTGAGGAGCCAAGCCAACCTAAGCTCCGGAAATCTTGGGGTTTTAAACAAGCTCCATAGAACCTAAACTTAAAAATTACATGGCATTCATTAATACAAGCAAGGACCACATGAATTAATTGAAATACAAAATGCATAAAAATTCAGAACACCTTATGTTTAAACACTTAAAAAAACTCTTGAAGGGAGCCTTTGAAACCTATTGACTAAGTACAATACCTGACAATTATCAAGTGAACCAATAAGCTTAACGGGTTATGAAATTAAATAACCTGCCTAAGAAAGATCAATTTTATTTTTGACTTCCAGACAAAACATCATTATTTGGCCTTGTGTCCTATTCAAATCCCTATACCAAATTATGAACAGACATGTTGGGCCTTAAGCCTTAAACAATGACTTCTCGACAGACTGTCAAGCGACTACTGCAAGATCAAACCTATATCACATATCATTCGAATACTAGAAAAACCATACAAACCCACCTAAATGTTACTGCTATTACAAACTGAGGCACTTCTTTCACTTGTAGCCATTTTCAAACAAAATTGATACTGAACAGAAGAATCGAATTGCTTAAAAGCTTTGATTTCATGCTATGACATCCTAATCATGTTCAATATACTAGCCAAAACGTTTCTAGTGCTGAATATTGCAGGTGTTCATGAGATTGAAAATGAAAAAAATCAAGATCCAATCCAAATGACATCAGTTCTCAATCATATTTCAAATCCAAACTTCATACTATACTTGAGTGATGTCCATGGTGCTGAAAATACTTGGAAATCGAAGGGAAAGTAAGTGCAGAATCAGTAGACAGCAACAGCAAAATAAACCCAGCAAGCAATAAAACAGTAACCCCAAATCCAAACCAGCTTGAACCAACTTTTTAAAAAAATCCCAAAACTCAAACCATCTTCAAATCAAGTGCAGGACTCCACAATTTTCAAGAGTTCTAGCTAATGAGAAGATCAGAAAACCCAGCAAACAAACCAAATTTGAGCAGTTTCCATCCAAAAATTGTAAGAAAATCCAGTATTATTTTTCAGAGTTAGCCGTTTTTAAATTTTTGGATTTTCTCTCCTTTTTTTCTTGGGTCTATCTTGAAAGGCAAGTTTAGGATGCCTTTATAGGCAAGGAACTAGGGCAAACCTTAGGATTTTAACTTTGCCCTCTGCCTCCCTCTTTAATTCTCATTTTTAGCTACTTGACCCCTCATTTGCTGACTTGTTCCCCAAGCTAACCTACTATACTTCTGAAATTCAATAAAAACCCCTCACTAGAAGCTTCCTATTTCTGTTATGAAAGATTCTCTGATCTAAACTACCCAAACTACCCTTTAAAGACCCTAAAATTACCTTTAACCAAGACCGGTCATGGGTTGATTCGACCCAATTGAATTAATTCAGGTTCAGCCCAAACTAGTAAATCAGAAGATTAAAGGCATAAACCTAATCCCAGACCAAGTCGAATTGATTGAAACAAATGCTCATAACAGAGACGAGTCTGAACAACTTCAAAAACAGAAATCAAGTACTGGGCTAGAATTAAAGAAATTACCAGATAAAACTAACCTAATTAATCAAGCTAAGTGACCTAATATGTTTAAAATAACATGCATAATAAACAACCCATAAACGAACATAAAAGACCTAACGGGACAACAAATAATAGAAGAAACGAAGGAGTAGAAAAGAAAGAGAAATGAGAAGAGGAAAAGAGATATACCTAAGAGGACCCGGACAAAAGGGCATAAGGAACAGCCTTCAACTCATCGATTCCGGCCCGATCCGAAGTTAATTGTATGTTTTTTAATATCAAAAACACACGAGTAACATCGATTTAGGCTTAAAATCTTCTAACCCTCGGCGATTCGGACCTTTAGGGTTGTCCTTTCAAATCCAGATTCGAGGAGCTTCACTAATATTCGAGGGAAACAGAGTGGATTTCTGGAATGANATTAAGTGAAATCAACGGCTCAGATGATGCGAGGCCAAACCGGCATCGTTTTGGCTCTTGAGTGGGGCTGGACCGGGTCCGGGTGGATTTGGGCCGGGTATTGGGGCAATTATGACGAGTTTCAGGGGTGCAGGTGTTTGGTCTTCGAGATAATTCAATTAATTTGGCCAAATTCCTTTTCTTCATTTCAATTTTTTCCAATTTTTCTAATTTCTTCTAAATTAAAATTAAAATAAAACTTAAATTAATTCCTAATCAAATTATCCTATCACATTAAATTAACTAACTCTAAATAATAATTACCACAACTAATTAAATGCTAAATTAAAGAAAAACTACCAAAATTCGAAACTAAAAATTTAAAATGCAAAAATAAGTTGTTTTGTGATTTTTTCCATTTTTATAAAACACTAAATTACTAATTAATTCAAGAATGCAAAATTAGATCCTAAATGCAATTGCACTATATTTTTGTATTTTCATGAATTAAATAAAATAAACATGCACAGACAAATGCAAACAATAACAAAAAAATGCTACGAAAATCTACAAAATTGCAAATAATGAAAAAAATTATTTTTCTTGAATCTATGAGAATAATTCATATAGGGCAAAAATCACATGCTCACGATATCTAAATAGGACCAAGCAAAGCAATCCATATTATCAATAAGAAATTGAATAAGTTTTTTCCTGAGTTCGGGGGTCAATCTCGTTCCCAGGTATACCTTCTTCTCGGGCATGTATTCGATCAAAATGACCTACTCCAGCTCCTCGATAGTTGATTTGGTTGCATCAAATTCTTCGGGAACGACGAAAGTTCGGGGAGTAAGGAAATCCTCATCTTCGTCTTCAATTACCTGTTGCTCCGGCTCCAACGAGGTTGGAGGCGATGATTACTATTTGGCAGCTTGTTTACCTCTGATACTCGATTTCTCCGAGGTTGAGGGCTCTGGAGTTGGAACCACTTCCTCGATTGCAAACATCTCCTTTGCAGCTTGTTGCTCCCCGTAGACTATTTTTACTCCTTCTTCCGATAGGAACTTCATCATCTGGTGAAGAGTTGAAGGCACTGCCCTCATGTTGTATATCCATGGTCTCCCGATGAGTGAATTATACCTCATGTCACCCTTGATGACATGGAACTTCGTATCTTGTATGGTCCCGGCTACATTTACCGGTAAGATAATTTCTCCCTTTGTTGTTTCACTTGCCATGTTGAAGCCATTTAGGACCCCGGATGCAGGTACGATCTGATCCTGTAGGCCGAGTTGTTCCATGACCCTCGATCTAATTATGTTTGCTGAGCTACCTAGATCCACTAAAACATGTTTAACTTGAATTTTATTCAAAAGGATAGAGATTACCAGGGCGTCGTTGTGAGACTGAGATATGCCTTCTGCTTTTCCATCATAGAATGTTAAGACGTCCTCGGGCACATAGCTCCGAGCCCACTTTTCTCTGGTGATTGATACTTTGGTGCGCTTGAACACAGGTATTTGAGGGACAATGACTCCGCCAATGATCATGTGGATTACATTTTGTGGTTCTTCTTGTTCATTTTTCCTTGCATCTCTCTTCCTGAAGTGATTCTTGGCCCGATCACTTAGGAATTCTCAAAGATGGCCCTCATTGAACAAACGGGCCACTTCTTCCCTTAGCTGTCTACAATCTTCTGTTCGATGACTATGTGTGCCATGATACTTGCACATCAAGTTCGGGTTTCTTTGAGAAGGATCGGTCTGTATAGGCCTAGGCCACTTGGTATCTTTGATTTTTCCAATAGCTAAGACAATCCCCAATGCATCTATGTTGAAGTTGTACTCCGATAATCGGGGAAACTCTGCGGGGTTGGCATATTTATCGAACCCTCTCTTACTCATGAGTCCCCAGGAACTTTGACCTCGATCGTTTCTCCGATCGCTTTGAGGAGCATTGCGGCTCGGGCCGCTGTTCCTTCGATCGGCATATGGCTGATACCATTTTTTGTTGAATCTTGATTCCCAATTTGTGTCCCTCGGGGGCTTGGCTGTGAATCTATTAAGATGAACTGAGCGGGGGGGGGGGGGGGGGCTCCCAACTGGTCGTCCTCGACCCTAATTTTTTTATTGGTAATGATTGTGCACATCCGACCATGTCACAACTGGATATTCGATCAAGTTCTGCTTTAGCTGTCGAGATGCAATCGAGCTCCTTTCATTAAAACCTTGCATAAAGGCCTGAATTGCCCAGTCACCGGAGATCGGAGACAATTCCATTCTTTCCATCTGAAACCTGGACACGAACTCCCTTAGCATCTCGCCGTCCCTCTGTTTTATCTTGAAGACGTCCGATTTTCTCGTGACCATCTTTATAGCCCCAGTGTCTGCTTTCACAAAGGCGTCTGCCAACATAGCAAATTAATCAATAGAGTTAGGAGCCCAGTTGTGATACCAGATCATAGCTTGTTTTGATAGTGTTTCCCTAAAATTTTTCAATAACACTGACTCGATTTCATCATCATTCAAGTCATTTCTCTTGATCCCACAAGTGTATGAAATAATATATTCATTAGGGTCGGTTGTCCCATTATATTTGGGTATATCAGGCATGTGAAACTTCTTGGGAATGGGCATAAGAGCCGCACTCGGGGAGAATAGTTTTTGTATGAATTTCTTGGCGTCTAATCCTTTCAAGATCGGAAGTGCCCTCGGTATTTGATCAATATGGGAGTTGTAAGTCTCCACTTTTTTATTATTTTCCTCAATCTTCTTTTCTCCGGTCTCGATTCTGTTGGCGAACTCTTCGAGAATCCTCATAATGGTGGGGTCAGTCCCCGAATTATTTTCGTTTGATCTCTCCGATTTTGGTTCAGCATGTCGAATATTTCCATGTTCAGCTACGCTCAGAGTCTTCTTTTGACTTTGAAGTTGAGCGATGGCGATTTGCTAAGCTTGCAGTATCTCGAATATCACTTGGAGGCTGATTCTCCCATCTCCCATTCCTCGTGCTCCTTGGCCACCAGATCGGTCTTACCTGCGTTCATTCCCTACGTGGTCTGTGCCTGAATCCACATTTAGAGCATTATGTGAACTGATATCAACTGGCTCCATATTTGGCACTTCTTCAGGGTTTATTGGTGGTACACCAACCCCTATACTATTGTTTTCTCCGACACCTTTATTGTCGTGAACAAGTGCATTTTGTGTGCTAGACATGTTTCAGCATGAGAATCAAAAAATTTGACAAGAAAAAGCGTAAAAACAACGTGTGTAATGAAAATCAGTAAAAAAAATAATCACTATTATCTTTAGCCCCACGGTGGGCGCCAAAGTGTTTACCTCGAAAATACGAGTAACAATTAAATTTGATTAGTGGTTTTAAAGATATGTGATTTAGTTCAATACCAATTAATAATCAAGAAATAAGAAGTAGAAATGAAAGATAGAAGTGAATCAAACCAATGTTACTTAGCAACAATGACCTCGAGCTTAGTGACATCGAGGTGGCTTGGGGCAGTAAGAATAATAAAATAGGAGAAGCCAAATAAGAACAATAAAGCTAAAGGACAATTCTGATGAATAGTAGGCAAAAAGTAGAGAGTATATTCTTTGCTCAATGAATAGAAGATGTTACAAATGATTGGGGTCTCCTTTATATAATGTGGGAACCCTAAATAAGAAATATTTACATTTACAGTAAGGAATGTTCTTGGTACAGCTGTCTAACCGCTTAGTATGGAATCGTACAATCCTATCCCGGGATTTGCGCCATAACTTTGGGGGCGTGGCAGGAATCTAGCTTGTTCTGGTACAAATTCATAATGGTACTATTTCAGGGTCGAGCACACTCGACCTCGATACGTATCATGCTCTGTCTTCGATCTCGGGTCAGGTCCCTCGAGCTCGAACTTGATCTTGCCCGGCCTCGGACTTAGGACGACCTCGCGAGTATATAGATCGAAGGCATTCAATCTCGACCGTATACACACTTGATGATTGAGGTCTGAATCTTAATTATTCAGATATCAGACATTAAGTATTCTATCATCCACATTCATTATTAACTGCCATCACTGCCTACCATTATTAACTACCACCACCACCTCCTCAACTATAATCGCACACTCACCCACCTCAACTATCACAACCAACCATCCCATTACCATCAATAACCACAACCACAGCCAGCACCGCCTACCATTATAAACCACTATCACCCACCATCACCTTCCTCCATCACAACCACCACCACTATCTACTATTATTAACTATCACCACCCACNAATTTTTAAATAAAGATAAATTTTGTATATTCATATGTTAAAAAAACAAACAGTCTTAATTATTTAGTAATTAGATCTTAATACTCATCTTAATATTCATATGTGTATTCATATTCAGATATTTTTAATCTGAATACACGTCTTGATATTCAGATGTCTTAATCTTAAAAAAAACAGATGAGTAGATACTGCAAATCCTTCGTCTATCTAACAGAATATGACAAAAAAATAGTTTAGACGAATGTTTGGGTCCCTCAATGCTGATTGATTAAGCAAGGTGTAATTTAAACTTTTTTAGGCTTTTAAAACAATTTTTTCAGTTTTTTTTTTTTTTTTTTTTTTTTGAGTTTAACTTCTTAATTATACGTTAACAGTGGATAGAAAAAGTTTCATGCCTAATAAGATAACAACGGTTAACAAATCAAATGAGTAACGATACTGAAATATTCTTTACAATATTAGAGTATATTAATTATATCCTTTTTGGGGAAATNAAATTTTGAGTGTTTTAAAATAAATTTTCAATATTTTTGTATAATTTTTCTTTTAGCGTAATCCATTTCAGAAAGTAAGCTGCAAAGTATCAAAATTATGTAAATTTTACACGTAACTTGCAAATGCTTAAAAAAGGAAGAAAAGAATTCAACATTTTGTATAATTTACCTTTTAGCGTAATCCACTTCAGAAAAGTAAGCGGCAAAGTATCAAAACTATGCAAAATTTTACACGTAACTTGGAAATGGCGAAAATGAAACTCATATAGCCAAATTTGGCTCTTTAAATTTGATTATTTAAAAGATAGACAATAAATTTGAGATTTAACATTTTTTTTGGTTTTTCACCCGGTGTCCGGTACTCACATTAGAATCCGGCTATATCCGGATTCGCGCCGCGTAGGATTCCATTCGAGGGGAAGCGCTCCCTACGAAAGATTTTTGCATACTCAGGGCTCGTTGAGATTTAACATGTGTATACTGCTTTTGAAACTTATTAACCCTTAGCATTGAAGTTTTAACTTATAACAAGTTAATATACAATTTACTAATTGCATACAAAATAATGTATTAGAATTTAATCTTCTTTATTTTCTCTCCCTATTTTTCCTATTAGCAGTGTCTAATCTATGACTGCCAATTGGTTTATTGGCCAATATCTGATCTAATGTCTGATGTTAGACAGCTAATGATCACAAGTTCACACCGTTAAACAAACAAGATCCAAGGATCGATGAAAACCGTTTGATTCTGATATTGGAAATACGTATTATCAGGAGAAAAATAAAGAGTGCAACTGAATACAAAATTGCCCATGAGAAAAACTAGAGCAGTAAATATGGGCGGGGGCGGGCTAGTCCACGCTCAACCTATATGGGCTTTAGCAATTGACGGGTTGGGCTGGGCTAGTCCACCATTTTGATGGGCCTTATAATGGTCAGTTCACCTTAGTTTTACGTGGGCTGCGGGCCCCCACGGGTCGATCCATTATTTTTTTTAATATAATTTTTTATTTTTTATTTAAGTTCTAACCTAAAAAAAATATTTAAAAGTTAATTATTCTAACTTTTTTAAACTTTTTAAGAAAAATAGTAATATAAGCTTTGTTTTATAATAAGCAAAAAATTCATTTAAAACCCATTGACAACTGTTAAAAAGTTTTGAATCTTTAAGTTAAAAAATTAAATTTTGCAATATTATTATTTGTTTAGATTGGGTATTATTTCAAATAATTGGAAAACTTATTTGGAGTTTATATCTCAATTTTGAGAGAATTTGGTGAAGATTCGAGATTAATTTATTTAGAATTCAATATTGAAACTCGAAGAAGAAATAAAAGAAGACATAAACAAATTATATATATA